GAGAGAGAGAGAGAGAGAGAGAGAGAGAGAGAGAGAGAGAGAGAATAGGTTGAATTTTTTTTAATTGACTTTTTTAAATTATTTGTTGTTTTGTATGTATTTGCATTTTATAATTATTTTTTAGTACTTTAACATTTAATCACAATTAAGTCAAATGTTGAATTAACTATCTACAAATTTTTAAAAGATTTAAAAATATCTTTCAATATAAAATTTTGTAATAAAAATATGTGCGTGTGTGTGTAATAATAATAAAATAACTGGATTCTATAAGACCTAGTACCAAATATGCCTTACTCGCTGCATTTGTGTAATTACGTAGGCTGCGTTCCGTTATTCACTGAGAGAACTGAAAATCTGTAATTTACATTATATTATATATACTACGTAATTTCAGTACTCGCAGTGAATAATGAAAAGCATCAGCTATAGTGAATTTAACAGATAGCACTGGTAAGTCGTGCAGATTGTCCGTCTGACTCGATTGCATCAGTTTATTGATAAGTTTGTTCATTCCGTTATTGTCAATAAAGGAAAATGCCAAACATCGTGGTCATAATGTAATATTTCGTATCGTAGGTAAGTAATTGCTTTTTCTATAACTACCAAGAGATAGGTTATTAACTTTCGTAGTTCATTTTATTGTAACTCTGTATAATTTATATTTTATAATACTGTATTTAATTTATATTTTTGTTGTAACGTTTAGTTTATCATCAAAAAGAGAAAGTTTTGTAAAATAGAACCAGTATGGCCAATTTAGGCATACTGAGTGTATACACACAGATTGTACCGTTATCTTGATATATGTTATTCCAGACCACGGATTCTAATTCATCTGTTAAATATTGTCATTATGGAAATAAATAAATAACATAAGTATAATAGATAAGTCGATTAAAAAAAATAGTTCATTTTGAGTATTCTCACATGTCAATAAACTTATAATCTCATAAAAGTTTTATAAAAAGTCTTAAAAATTTTATAAAACATTTTATTTTCCATTTTTTTAAACATTTTTTTTATGAAAAGGAGAGGAACATATATTTAGATCATACTCGTATAAATGTGCTACTTCTTCTTAAACTTTTCACTACATCCATGTCAATATTTGAAAATGTTTTTTTAATAAAATTTTTTTAGAAATGGTTCTTCCTTTGAATCTGACCATCAGTTTTCAATTTTGAACTTAGCAAAAAATTAGAAAAAATTGAAAAATTTAGTTAATATAGGCTCCGGTTATTTTACAAAATGTTATAAAATCTCATAGTAAAAATGACTTTTTGTGTAAATAAATATCATAGACTTGACTGATAAAATTACCGTTTGAATAAACAAAAATGAAAGTAATAGTATGATGCTTTGTTTAATAGTACTTGGGACGTGGCAAAGATTAAACCGAGCGTTCACGAAGAGCATAAAATATCCGTGGAATGTCGTCGTAACAAATGTGCGCGTTGAAGCCACTTTGCACTAATGAACCATAGCTCTCCAGAGCGATTAAAACGGCGGCTATCTTTCGAACAAACTACGTATCACAACGGTTGCAAAACGCTAATTGCTATGATTAGAGGTAAGTCGTATCAATGGTTGGATGATGAGTAATCTAGTGGGAGATAAGTGAATTTCCTATCTGAATTATCGATGCTGAAAGTCGAGACATTAGAAATTCAGTGTAGTTGAAAAAATCGAATGGTAACGAAGAGCGCTTTCGTTAATGTTATTCAAGTACTTATTATATAATTTTGATGTAGCTTCGATTTCATCATGCAATTTTATTATATACACTTTAGTTAATGCGTCACGATATGTTTTAATGATAAATTTATATAATATAAGTTCGTTACAATTGTGATACATGATTTTTTTCTTTCTTATGATATTCAATGATCATGATTATTCTAATTGTTATTTCATGTCAATGTATTGACAATTTTAGAGATGCAATAAAATGTTCAAGACTGTGTGCAAGCGACTTCAAAGCGGTTCGTGGTATTTGACACACGTTAATCTCGCGTGCTCCTTTCTGGGCTTCTTCTGTAGACCGACGACTGTAATAGAACTGGTGACGTTCCATGAGCGAACTCATGTTCCTCTTACTGCATTTGATCTGCACTTTCGCAAGCTGAAAATACAGTCCTGGAGGAATCCGAAAAGTCTCCCGAACGAGGTTTATAGTTCACGACGAGAATACTATTAGCTCGAATGCTATTAGTTTTGATTACTCGAGAAAAGAATATCTATTTCGGTCTATTTAAGATTTAGATCATACGTATGTATATTGTCATTGTGTGCGTGTATGAAATGAATTAAATACAAAATAAACAATACGGACATTATAAAAATAATCTTTTTTTTTTTGAAGACATGAAAATAATAACAAAACGTCATGTTTCACAATACTTTCGTACTGAATGTGTTTTAAAGAAACAAACAAATACATGTTGATCTCACGCAGAATTTTCTTTTTTCTTTGTCGGTTAAGGAGGTTCTTACATTTGATAAAATATAAGACAAGTCTGATACATATATGATACATATATGATATAAATCATACATATAAATCATACATATATGATATTTATAATCGACAATCTAAAAAAAATCGCATTGATTTTTATCGCAACGTTTCGAAGATATGTATGGGATTTTACGATATACAAAATTTTATTCCGTAGACATTTTGTTTCTCGCTTTGAGACATTATTTACATATAAGACAAAAATTTCAAAAATGTTATAATTACAAAGTAAACATTTAAGTTCATTCTGGTATAGTTTCACTTAAATTGATTATACAATTTGAGAGAAATTTATATTCTTCGATGAAAAAAGCCAGAATATTTGTTAAATGGACGACGCGTATACATATAATTACGCGTATTATTATACTTATAGAAATATTAATATTAAACTTAATAGCTTTTAAATTTATGTCATATAATAATTGCGATGATACATCATTTGTATATTTTGCCGCGTGTACATATGTAGATATTATTTTGAAAGGAAATACATAATCTCAATGATATATGTAGAGGAGAAGATGGTATTATGACCAGTGTATATATATTGTGGTCTCCCTTAATATCTCCGCTATTATATAGCGAATCCTAATGATTACTTATGGAATTATTAGTTCAGTAGCTCGCTGTTACATCATGATACTAATATTACCAATACTCAATAACCAGCACTTATTATAACGCATTTTTACTTTCAAGTATTTAGAAACGTTTCTGAGGTACACTTTAGCATTTAATTACACCTATTTCTCCCCTCATTTTTTTTAAACTTGAGCATATTATCACATGAATATATGTATTTTTGAATGTATTTGCTATTTAACATTTTATTTGACTGTATATATTTTGAGTTATGCAAATTTAAACAATACCATGGCATTTTGTTAATGTGATCCTCTATGGATATTGGATTATTCATGACCTCTTTTTTGAGGTTTTCATATCAAAATAATTATTTGATAATCGGTTGTAGCGATCCTGTTAATCTATAGCTTTTTTTATATTATCTGAAAAAAAAAGATTGGCTGCTGCAGCAAATTAGATGGTAAAATAAGGCATAGCATTTTTAATTGGCTGC